CCTCGGCCTCGCTCATGGCTGTTTTCAGCGGTGCCGAGCGCAGGGAAACCCTGTGAACAGGCCAGGCTCCATCCCAGCACCTGCTGAGGCATTTCAGAAATCCAGCGAGAGCTTCTTATGCCTCATCCTTTGAGGAAGCTTTCATGTTCTGCGCTGATGCTGTTCCGTTTTATTTCCACCCCAAGAGGAAGCTGATATATGTTGTTTGAAGTGTTCCTGTGGTTTCATCCTATGCTGTTTATTTATATAGCGTGAGGTCTTGAAGATGCCAGCTGGGAAACAGAGGACAACAAGAAGAAAGGTTGTAGTCTGTCCTGGCTCTGTAGACATGGCTGGTTTATGGCTCTGATCCTGAGAACACACGGTTATTTACCACAGGGCACGATCCTGTGCCCACAATAACGCTGCCCCATCTTCCAGTGATGCCACTGAGCAAAAGCATGAGCCTGCAGCCCTAAGTAGCCCCTTGCTGCTCAGGTACAGCTCGTGGCTTTGCTGCAGGGCCATGTCCTTCTGTGTGGGGGTAGCTAGTTGGCTGCAAAACCCTAATAGAGGTAAGACTGACTGTTTTTAAATAGGTAGTGAAAATCAATTCCTGTAGTGCAGTGCGACTGTTTCTGGTCTCATGTTCCAGTGAGACAGTCAGGCTTGTGGGGAGAGGGGGTAGCTGCTGTCAGAACAAATAAATAAGCTGGAGGGCTGGGGAGGGTAAGTAAGCTTCCTCTCAGGGTTTGAAATAGCAGTACTGATCTTTAAATGCAATTTAAGAACAATTGCTCCAGGTGTAGCCATGTCAGTAGGTGAGGTGGTCTGAGGAAAAAGGTGGTTGATATCAGTGCGGAAGAGGAGATGTTAGCCAGTGAAGAGGTGGTGGAACTGTTAGCTTGTGGGGAACAGGGAGGAAGACTCCATGATCATCCAGGGACCTGTTGGTGTAGCTGCCAGGCACAGTGTAAGGAGATGGTGCTCTGGCTGAGAAAACTCACTTTGCAAGTTCTGCCTTCAGTGCAGGAGGTGGCAAGCCTGACGCTGAGCCCTGGTTCCCCAGCGTTCAGCACTGGCCTGCCCGTTGGCATTGGGTTAGCCTCCTGGCCTGGGCAGGTTTCAGCCTTTTGTTAATCACAGGAGCTTTTTAAAACAGAATTTTGCTAATATTAGTTCAGCTCCACTGCTAGCAGGAAAACTAATGGTCTGAATGTGGGTTTCCTGCTGTGGTGCTGTGCAAGCAAGGACGCTCTACTATGACTAGTTGGAGCATGATCTCTACTTTGATGGGGCAGTGCTTAAAATGGTAGTGGCAGCTGCTACCAGCCTGTGTGGGAGCTCTTGATGCTGATCCTGTCACCTGGGATCCGTTAGAAAATGACTAATACCCTCAAGGGAGGTGAAACATGAAAGGGGAAAGGAGGGGAGACTTGCGGAAGCTGAGGACGGGGATTTTTTGTTTTCATGATATCTGTTCCTTTTTCTGATTTATTTTTGTGTGTTGTGTTTCAGGTGTGTGAATCAGGATTGTCAGTAGGAGTTTGTCCTGAGAAAACTCCAGGTGAGGAATGAAGCAGCATCCCTTCCTGCTCTGTTTGAGGAAGAGTGTGGGCAAGAATAACATTTTCAAAAGATATCTCAGTAACTAAAGTCAAGATAAAATACAGCTCAGGGGTGAAGTTTCCCATTATTCTGTTTCTTGCTTAGGAACTGCTGCCTTAGTGGCTTTGGGGGGGGGGGG